CACAGCCTATATTCCATTTTTCTAATTAAAAGCTAAGGTTTTGAACCATTTAACATTCTATTTGAGAGGGGGGGAAACGTCCAGAAAACTGAGAAATGCAAACAGATTTTTTTCTTTCAATAATTGCAAGCAATATCTCAAACTCAGCAATCTTAGACCATGGAGCTATCCAGTATGAACATGCTAATTAATCAGTTACTACCCAACAATATGCCCTGATTATTTACTGTACATGTGTGTAGAACAAGTAATTATTAATCATCACCAGCAACAAATTTCCCCTTCAAGTTCACCTCCCTGTAATTAATAGAGCATATAGTTTAGCTCTAATATCTTTCTTTAGTGGTGGCTGAGGATAGAAAAGTTGGAATGTGGTATTGTGCTGAAGGGTTGAAATAAAGTATTGAACCTTAAAAGTGATACAATGCTGTTGTGTTTCATTAATTACATTAATGAAGGTTGTCAATGATTGTAGTTCTTAATCTTTTGTTCTTCATCAATAGAATGAAACCTGGAATCTAAAATGAAATACAGAGGATCTGTACAATGTAACAGGGGCTGCCTCAGAGCTACAGTATCCCCTTGTTAAATGGATTTTATATGAAGTTTTAAGGATAGGCTTAAAAATGCAGGGATTTGTTACCTTAACCTAGAGGGAAGGTGATGAATTCTCCTGATCTTGAGGTGCTGGAGATCTTCCAGGAAAGAGGGAGGGTGAACATTTCATTTCAGAAGACATCTGGAAGTTGTTGTGTTGATAAACTGCCTTTTTTTTTTTTTTTTTTCTCTGTGCTCAGAGTTGTCATTCTAAATGTGGAAATGTGGGCTAAAAGCTTTTTTTATTTCTTTTACCCAGGGCTTTAAACCCAACTACCTAAAACAAGAGACCCAGTTTCCAGTCTCATCAGCTCCAGGTAGCTCTTTCAGGAGAATGACCTGCTCTGTGCTGCACTCAATTCTGGCTCAAACAAAATCCACCAAGTGCTGCCAGTTAAACAAACATCTCCATTTCCAGCTCCCACTCCTGGGGAGCACAAATCCTTCATTTTAATTGTCTGCATCCTCTGCAGTTGCTGCCAAACCTGCTGGCCCTCACCTGCTTCCACGGGCATTCCTGCACTCCCTGCAGCTGAGCTGCCAGCTCCAGCTTTTGCCCAAACCTGGCATTTTTTGGGGCAGTTTCTGATGGAGCCAGCTCCAGCTTCTGCCCAAACCTGGCATTTTTTGGGGCAGTTTCTGTGGAGCCAGCTCCAGCTTTTGCCCAAACCTGGCATTTTTTGGGGCAGTTTCTGATGGAGCC